CTTCTTCAGTAGCTGCACAGCAAAGGCCACTAGTGTCTCTAGTGTTCCCGTTGGTCAGGTTTGCCCTTGAATGACCTCTGAGAAGTTCTACTTAGTCTAGGGTTGTCTGGCAGTTGTTGATTTGTATCTAGTTATCCCTGGTCTCAGACATGGGCATTGGCGTTAGCTGATGGCCGACCATCTGATTCAGCATCTCCTTGCAGTTCAGGGCATGTGCATGGTCCAGACTCGGGTTGCAGTGGTGTGACAATCCTAGTTCAGTGGACCTATGTCTCCAGGCTGTTCACGGTACAGGCAAAACCCAGACACAAACTGCAGGGTCAACAGTTTGTGAACCACCTGATTCTGTATCTCCAGTCAGTTCAGGACACATACAGGAGCGAGATGCAGGCTGGATGTGTAGCAATCACAGACTGCCCGTGCCTTTGACCCTCTAGGAGGTCCTGGTGAATGTAAAACACCGACTCGAACTGCCGGACCAGCAGCTCCCGGAACACTCGCACACTCAGCACGGGGTGTGCACAGGGCTACACCTCCCACCCCCAGCCAGAGATGTCCTTTGGGTTTCTGAGTGAGGACCTCCTCTCTGCTGCAAGTGCAGGGACGCAGAAACTCAGTGTGTAATGGAAACGGGGTCTTGGGTCGCCTGCTCTGCCCTCGGAAAGTAGATGGGATATACCTGGCTCTCTACACAAGTTTCAGCTGGGAACCGTGGCTGTGTGAGTAAAGCAAGGACTTGAACCACAGGACCAGCAGCTCCTGGAGCACTTGCACACTCGGCACAGGGTGCATGCAGGGCTACGCACCCCTGCCAGTCAGAGATGTCCCTGGGGTTTCTGAGTGAGGACCTCCTGTCTTCCAAGGGTGCAGGGAGGGCATAGGGTCAGTCTGTAATGCTGGTGGGTTCCTGGTTCACCTGCTCTGCCCTCAAGAAGTAGACTGGAAATACCTGGCTCTCTCTGTGAGTTTCAGCTGGGAACCCTGGCAGTGTGAGTAAAGCACGGACTCGAACCGCGGGACCAGCAGCTCCCGGAACACTCTCACACTCCCAGACCTCATTTTAAAGTATCATAAAAAGTTCTCAAAATATTGTTCTATGTAGTAAATAATTATGCATCATCTACCCTACTGCCAAGGACTTTGCTAGGTACTGGAGAGTCTGTCAAAAAACTGATAACACTCACACTTTTGTCTCTAGCTCACTCCTCTCCCTTGGACTTCACAGTTGAGTATTCACGTGGACACTTAGTATCTCCATTTGGACATTTACCTGGCAGTTAAAACTTAATGTGCCTAAAATGTAACTTTTGATCATCCAGTCATAAACATGCTCCTCTCCTAGGTACTTGCTCTTTAATAAAAGGTAAGTCACTTCTATATCCTCAAAATTTCACTGGAATTATCTTGACCTTTTCTTTCACTTATAACCAAAACAGCAACAAACACTTTTGGCTCAACCTCCAAATGTACTCAGAGTCTTACTAGTTCTTTGCCTTCCACAGCCAGCACAAAATGCCACCACCATCCACCAAAGCCTACTGAGTAGGCCTGCTGATATTCCCTCATTGTTCTCAATAAATATCTATATTATTACCCCCTGAAATAAATAGGACATGTGTCAGATATTAACACTATTTTGTTATGTGATAGACTCTTTTTGTTTTGTTTTGTTTTGTTTTTTTTTTTGGTTTTTCTCCGGTACTGGGAATCAAACTCATGACCTCATGCTTGCTAGACAGGTGCTGTGCCACTTAGCTAAATCCCCAGCCCCACTATTTTGTTATGTGAATGATGCTGTTCCACGGCTTCATAATTCCTTACATTTTCTATATTGTTTGTAAATGCATAAGTATCACAATATTTTTATTATCTTAAAAACATCATCTTTCAAATTTTGATTGGCCATCTTTATGTTTTGTGTATGGTTGGATCTCGTTCTCCGAAGGTTTATATGCTGGAAGCTTGGTCCTAGTGTGGTGTTCAGGTGGTAGTGTAACAACAAAGTTCTGACCAAGAACCAGGTGGCACCAAAGCTTGGAGGCAAGAATCAGCATTATTATTTTGGTGGACCCAGATGGGATCTTCCCAAAGAAGTCAGGACTCCAATGACTCCGGGAGTGACATTTTTATGGGACTGTAAAAAGTGAAAGTACAGAAGCAGAGTGGCTTTCATTTGGGGACTGGTTCTTCTAGGATGTATTTTAAGTCCAGCTTTTTCTGGGAAACAGAAACCATAAGTCCAGCCTATATTTGGGAAACAGAAACTTAATTGAGTACCAGAGACTAAATGAAACCATTGGTTTAAACTGGTGGGAAATGACACCATCTTATGTCAGGGGCACTTTCTGATATAGTAGAACATTCAAAATGCAGGGCCTTGGGCAAGGTAATTTTAGTCCCTGCAGCATGAACCTTAGACAGGATGAAAGAGAGTCTCACAAATGAGCTCATTCTCTTGAAAGTGAGTTTGTTATGAAGTGATCTGGGTGGCCACTCAGAAGGGGCTGCCTGGGTTTTGATTATCAGCCTCCCAAAATGTGAGGTACATAATCTTATCTTTATGAAGTACCTAGCTTTCCTTGTTTTGACATATCAACAGGAGACAGACTAATGTAATCATCATTTTCTTTGATATTATTGAATCATGTACTCTGGCACCTATATCCATATATTTTTTGCCCTTCAATTTTCTAAGAAAACTGTAGATTTCTAAATTCACATTATTTACATACATTCCAAAAAATAGAATTGCTTGGTCAGTTCTCTGGTTGCAAAATGAGAATAAATGTTCTGTGAATATTTCTCATTAACTTTATATGATTCCTCCTTAAATATATATATAGGCATATATATAGCCTTTAAATGGGTAATTAATGCTAAATGAGGTCATAAATGTAGGGCCCTAATCCAGTATGATCCACGTCTTTGTAGCAGAAGAGACACCAGCGATGGACACACACAGAGCAAAAGACAGAGGCTTCCAGGCCCAGTCCTTGAAAATGGACTACAGGCTCTGTCACTGTGAGAACACCCATATCTGTTGTTCAGAGCACCAAATTTGTGGCAGCATATTACAGCAACCAGAGCAAAGCAACAAAATTGGCATGGAGTTTTACAATGTAGGAGCAAAACGTTAACTAGGTGGGTGGCTCAGGCCAGTAATCTCAGAACTTGGGGAGGCTGAGGTAGAAGAATAGCAAGTTTGAGCTCAGCCCAGGTATTTTTGTGACTTAGCAAGACTCTATCTCAAAATATAAAATAAAAACAAAATGAAGGGGCTGGAAATGTCACTCAGTGTATCTGTTGCCATATATATAAATATAGTTATAAAAAACATGAAATATAGGGTAAAGATAGTTAACAGTATTGTACCATACACTTAATAATTTTAAGAGGGTAAATATTACTTTTTCATCACAATTAAAAATGAGTCAGGCACAGTGGCATATACCTATAAGACAATTTATTTGGAAGACTGAGGCAGGAGGCCTTGCCATAGCAAGACCAGGACTTTAAAAAAATATGTTGTATTTTATTTCTTGTTAAAAAATTATACAAAAGGCACATATAAATGTGTTTAAAAACACAGCAGAGAGATAGGGTGCTAAAAAAGAAATACAATAAAAATCTGAGACATGAAACCAAAAAGTTTTCATTCTGTGAGTTGAAATAAAAATCTATTTCACTGACTACAACAGTGTTATTTCGATATATTATGAAGTCTTTTGGTTCTGATCTGACACAGTGCAGGGCTTTCCTTCAGTTATTCCTTAAAGGTTAGGGAGTCTCACTGGACAGAGGAGGATTACAACAGGACCTCACAGCCACAGGCAAGTGGCTGAGGGGTGTGTATAAATAAATCCTTTGTTTAGTGTTCCATAACATCACCATTTCAACTTTCAAGTGGGTCAGTCTCCATCTTTTCTCTCAGATGGCTTCATACTGCAGAAGTCAGAGTTCTGAAAGTGCTTTTTCACTGCAGTATTTATCCTTAGCTTTTTCTTCAGATCTTGGTTCAGATTCAGGGAGGGAATAAAACTGACCACCTAAGACACAGGTATGAGGGTAACCCTCTGTGATACAGCTCCCACTTTTTAAGGATCATTTTGCTAGGAGAAAGTCACTGTTCCTGCTGTCCTCAATGCTATTACCCACCGGAGGCTCTATCTGCACATACTGCTTGCAAGGATCAGCACTTTAAACTGAAGAACTGCCAAGAATAATGTATTAAAATAAGAATAGTAGTCAGAGTGTATCAGTTCCTTCTCAATGAGTTCTCAATGCCTCCATTCACCTCCCTATCCATGGTAATGTTACAAGTAAGAGGTCAAAGATGACAAATAGAAAGTCTTCTGGACATCAGATACGACTTTCTTTGCCTTTCCTTCAGAGGCCTTGATCCTGGCAATGAACTGTGTGGGGTTGATGGAATGGATATGGCACGGAGAGGTACAGGAGCTTTGGCTCTTTGTGAGAAAGCTCCCCAGATCTTTTGGAAGGGGGTTCATACCAGAGGAGGCGAAAGGACCCTCTCCCAACTCCACCATCCCTAGAGAGGGGACCTCATTGGGTGGTTCTGGGATGATCTTGTCTTAATAAAGTTAGCAGATATTCCCTTTTAAGTGGTTTAATCTGCTTCTTAAATTAGGCTCACTCCACAACTCAATGTATTTGTTGTTCACTCTGTATCACACTAATTTTTTTAATCCAGGAAAGAACACCTAGATCAGGGCCATGAGATCTTCCTAAATTGGAAGTTATGGGGAACTTTATCTCACGAGGAGAGCCTGAAACCTTCACTTAGAAGTTGTCACGGTTGTGGACAATCACCCACCAGTGAGTCCAGATTCAGGAAAATGATACTTTTTCCTGAATGTCCCTGGATGACAGGAGTTAGTTGAGGAAGTGTGAAAATTACATATACACAGTATTATTGGTTTGAGGCAAATAGAGGAGATGGATTTTCAGGTGTTTGGACCTGCAATTGACACAAATATATCTCAGTTTTTTCTGGAGACTGATGTCCTTTCATATGGATCCCACTCAGCAATAATGGACTGCAACAATTCATCCCAGTGCTGCAGAAAGAGATATGAGTCTACCTGGTCTACGCCCAGCCACTGTTGATTACCAAACAGAGGTTGAGCAGAGTCTTCTGAGAGCAGTATCTCTGTTGTAGTGTGCTCTTTGGGGCCATGGCATTGTCCTTGGTTTGTGGGACACAAAGAAATCTTTACGCCTGGAGTCATTCCTGTTGATAAATGACTATTTCATATTGAAGTAATATGACAATTTTCTCTTTCTTGCACAGCCTCGGAGGGCTGGACAATTTTAGCCCTGAGTAACTGGCTCACATGGCCCCCAGAAGAATCCTGAGGAACAAAAGGTGCAGGGGTGGAGAAAGACCTGGTACAAGTGACCTTTTGCTAGTAACAGCATTGGGGAGAGGAAGGTATCTGGAACTTCTTGGGTCAGTGCTGTGGTCTTTTGGTGGCAACTGATTCCTGGCATGGGATGTCTGACATGGGCCTTCTGCCACGGAGTCCGCAGGTACTCCCCTATTTTCCGGGTGTTGGTGCAAAGCTTTTTGGTTAAGAAACCATGTCTAAGACAGAATAAAGAGACTCAGACATTAAGAGACAGAAAGATTTTGCTTCAGTTTCTCATAGTCTATAAACAAAGTATCTACATATGTGACCCATGATCTCATATATATCACTTGGTCTTTAAAATGTGCCCAAATTAGAAGGAATTGTTTATTCTTTCTTTGCCATCGTTTTGCTGGCATCCCAATCTTTTGGAACTCTGTCGAATCCTCCTTTTCCTTTGATTATTTTTCAAATGACATATTTTATGTTATCTACATTTAATGCTGAAGAATATGTACTTTAAAATTTTCCACCATCAGTGCAAAAAATGCATTAAATTAATGAGTCCTCAAAGTTAGTCTTTGCCTCATGACAGTATCTGAAGTACCAATTCTGTATTTTCTGGGTAAGATGCTCTTTCCTGATTTTGAAGTTGAAATAATAACTCTAGGCAACAGCTGCCTTGGTACATATACAAGCACATCAGCTGAGGATGCAGGGCTTGACACATGACAACAGAGCAATGGTGGCAAACCTATGCTTGCACCTTGCCAAGTGGGCATGCAGAGCCCTCTCTATCGGCATGCGAGCCAAGTCATCGCAACATTGCCCCAGTACCTGAGTACTGGTTAACAGTGCATAAGAGCCATGACTGTGTCTGGAAATGGGAGAATAAATGATTCTTTAGGTGTAACTCGTCTAGGCTTTTGCATGGCAGGTCAGTGCACTGCCAAGGATATATCTTTGTGCCTGTGTTTGTGTCTGTGTCTATGTCCATATGATTATCTGTATATCTCTAAATTATATTTTACTAACAAGATTTTACCTTTGAGTTTACTTATGAAAAATTAAAATTTAATATCTGATATATATCAAAGAGATGTTCTTATTAAGAGACTGAGGTTCTCTTAATGTTGTGCTAATCCCCTGGAATATTTAAATCTGCAGCATCATATTTAGTTGCTTTTGAAGAATTTATAAAAGTAAGAATGAGGATATATATATATATATATATGTAATGAGCTCATTCTCATGAAATAT